TCAATATTTACGTCTGAAATGTTTATACACTTGAGTCTTAAATGCACTGTCTAGGCGGTCTAGCTCCTTCCTAGCTCTGTATAATGAATATACCGCCTAAATATTATCGACACTTATTAACTGAACGGCCGTAATGCATAAGATCAATTTATATATTGCGTAGATTTTCAAAGATTTACTCAATATTCACGTCTGAAATGTTTATACACTTGAGTCTTAAATGCACTGTCTAGGCGGTCTAGCTCCTTCCTAGCTCTGTATAATGAATATACCGCCTAAATATTATCGACACTTATTAATTGAACGGCCGTAATGCATAAGATCAATTTATATATTCCGTAGATTTTCAAAGATTTACTCAATATTCACGTCTGAAATGTTTATACATCTGAAAACAACACTGTCACTCCTTCCTAGCATATCGTCACGCCATCGTGATCTACGGCTTGATAGCGCATGCGCATTTGCGCAATTAAAGAAAAAATCGGGTGTTCCGGGGTAAAGATCCTTTAAACAACATGAGAAGCGAATGTTCTAAAAGTTACAAAAAATTACAATAACGAAAGCGAATCCTCGAATTTTTTGTGAACTTGGCAAAAGGATAACAGAATATGTAAATAAGTTAACTGAAATTGCCTAAATAACTTTCAAAGTACTGACTAAGTACAATAAATCACTACGAACATAAATCGTATACACCCCCCGAAAAGTTTACTCTATGATTGACTGATTCGTGTGAATTCGCCAGCCATCACAATAGTGTGAAGTGAAACTTCACACTAAAAACGTACTATATATTTGCTCTTAGATCAATATACAGCAATCCGTGTTTCTAAAATGCGTTAATTTCCAAACTTGCTTATTGTCTTCGAGGCATATTAATTCCTTATATATAGTGTCATTTGACTGCCGAGAATATTTAGAAGTGTGAAAAAGTGAACTGATATAACTATGATAAAATTGCTTATCAACACTGCTGTGTTCTTCATGCATTTACCGACCCATCTCCAGTAGAGAGACTTCTTTGTTCCATTGCAGTTGTCAGTGTTCCTTCGCCAACCACTTGCGTGATATTGATGTACGATTTCTAATAAAGATATAAATAAGTAAATAAAATAATTTTGCCTCAAAAGGTTGCCACAACAGCCTGTTTAATTCAAGAAGAATCAGGTGGCTGCCAAATTTTGAAAAATTGACTATTTATTGATAAATAAATGTTTGCAGTGGGAAACGTGGCCGTGTAGGCGTCAAACAATACATATATATATATATATATATATATATATATATATATATATATATATATATATATATATATATATATATATATATATATATATATATATATATATATATTTCAGTTCTATATTGGGCAAAACCGCAAAGAAGTACTAAGAAAGGATTTGTAATATACTCAAGGACAATACATACATACAAACAAACAAACAGAATACAAAACTTTCACCCAGCTAAAGCAAGGGCACGCTGACAATTTTATGTAAACATTGATCATATTTCACTGGGGAAACAATCGATTGAAAATAAATACGCTCCTATAAATACCCAAAATAGAGATTATGGAGAATATCGAGCTAAATACGCTGTTTATTAATGTACTTATTTATTATTCATTGTCATTGAACATGTTCAGTTCAACAAAATTGGAAAATCGACACAGTAGCCTACTTTACGCGAACAGCTGTTATTTTATAATCGCTCACAAATATCAAGTAATATCCAATCATGATTCTGGTTAAACAAATGTTCTGCCGAATACAACACTCAACAGAAATTTTCTGAGGATTCTGCCTTCTCTTGTCGATATAAAACTAAACCCAAGGCTGTGTCGTTAACTGAGCTTCGAGAAGAACATCTGTCGTATACTAACGTTTTTAAGAGTTTAATTCCAAACGTCCAGCCATGCAGGCCTTATAACAACTTCGTCCCTTTGAATAATCGTCCCAATTAGCCTTTCTCACGCCGCCATTTTTGGGTGGCTTTTCAGCCGAAGTCTGCGAGATAAGTCTACATAACAGCGATTTTTTATAATATTTTGGACGAATGATGGTAAATTTGCTTTGTAAATGGATAGTTTATTTTGAAAAATTGCTTTTCACATTAGTTTAATTGTCTGTATTGGTTAACGAGAATTAGATGCCACCCAAAAATGGCGGATATTCGTCATCGTGAGAAAGGCTAATTGTTATCTCCCAAAATCTGGGAGACACGTGACCAGCCTGGACCAGGGTCTTTCCTCCAGCGAGGAGAGTAGTAGAAAGAACCTGGGTAAGAGGTTGTCCCTCAATCACAGAAACGAGGCTCTATAGCTGCTGCTAAAGACTTTCAGGAAGGATGTATTCGTTTGTGCATGTTTGGTGAGAGGTACCCTCGGTTCCGACTGCGGGTCTTCTCCATCGATGTCTCGATGACAAAATCACATTCTTTCGATAATAATAATAATAACATTTCTATAGCGCATATACATTGCTGTTCTATGCGCTCGATGACAAAATCAAATTCTATGCTGCTCGATGACAAAATCATGATATTCTTTCGTATTGCCAGTGTCTCTTTCGCACTGGTTATTCTACACAGTCGTCTTTGAAATTTACAGATCTTATATAGTGATCAATATCGACCGAGGCCTTTTTAGATATAAAATTGTTCAGCTTTAGCGGCATTGAATATACAATGGTTCAGCTCGTACTTAAATGAATGGAATCTAGTATGTAAGTTGGGAAAAGCCCTTTCTTCTACGAAGACGAAGTACGCAATTAGAATTAGAATACCACCTTTGCGGTAAGGTATTTTATTAGGCTCATTATTATAACTAATTATTCTCAATTAACATTACTGTCAGCGTTTATTCATTTTAAAATTAGGTTGAATAGCGAACTAAACAATTGCAAAACTGCATGGTCACTCGCAAATATAAACTAATATGTTAAATGCGAATGAAATACTGGTCATTGGTGCGAGAGAAATATATATAATTTCACATACTGGAGATAGCTATTACTGATCTCCCGAAATTAAGGTGGAATACCCTTCACTAAAGTAGAGACCAACAACTCGTAACTATTGTAAATGATTGTTGCCAACACCTCAAGTTTAAGCAGCCTTTTCCAAATTTAAAAATCTACTCGCAACTACAACAATTTGAGAAGCGATAATAATAAAGTGAATTGCCCAAACAAAATACCAATGCCAGGTATAACTATAACTTCAAGAATATGTACATTTTTTGCCTTTTAGTATGTATATAGCTCATTGTATACCTATATTGTTCATACACTGTCCCATGAAAAACAGTCGTTTACATGTTGGCTACCGACCATAATTTATTGCGAAAAAAAAAATGATCATAAAATATGCACACATCAGAGAAAGTTACTAAACAAAATGACGCAACTTCCCCTATTGAATTATTTACATGGTATATATCGACAAGCTGCAATGGAAAGTGAAATTATGAAAGAAATTGAATATTCAACATCAAACTAATGAATTGAATTTGCCTATTTCTTAAAACTTTAAAATTTTCATATCAATTTTTATTCTGTTACATCTATGACTATATTATTAAATTCAGGAAATTTAAACTTAACATGAAAGGAGCATCAAAATTCTGGATTCAAAATGAAACAAATTACTCATCGTAGAAAATAAAAACTGAAATCATTTTAACATAACATTCATGAAAGTTAGGTTGTCATTGCAAAATTTAACATAAAATTAGGAATCTGTTTTTCACACCCGGTGTATTCTATACAATCGGATATGTTCATATTTAAAACATATGTTTGTATTATACTGACATCAATGATATTTTCTGCAACTAGATTATTGCCGTGGAAATGCTGTACCGAATAGTGGAGAGCGCCGGAAAAGAGCATTAGATTCCCGAGATGATGATATTGATGATCAGGACGTTATTCCGCCGTACAACCCGCCCGTACGTAATATTACTTCTCTCTCATGGCCAACGCCCAGTGGATTGACAGAAGAAAACGTCACGGAGATATGCAATAGAAGAATAAGGTATTCGAAGAGCGGTGAAAGTTGTGGTGCTGTTGCTGGTGTGGATTTGGATGCTCTTGTTGGTCAATGCATCTCTGATATTCAGGTACATATAGAAAAAATATAATAATAAGAAACCATGAAAAAGCATAGTACGAAAACACCACAATTTGTAATTTACAAATGAATATAGTACAATAATTTCTATGTTAGTATAATATAGTTTTAATAATTCGTAATTTTAAGTAATATTAAAGAACTAGGGATCCAAGGATAGTGTGAAGTTTCAAATTGAAAAAGACACTGCAAGAACTATATAGGTTCGCCGACAACCTAGAAAAGCTGATCGCTTACACTACGAAATAAACAATTACCAAAGGCATTTCATCTCATGCGCTCGGCGCACGACGTTTGAAACAAGCCCGACACATCAGAAACGTGCCTTGTGAAACTGACACAATTTATCTATTTATTGTGATGCTACACGCATGCTAAATTTCAATTGTTTCACCAACAACCAAATTTTGCATATTCTAAATTTTCATTTGCATTTGTATTTGCAGCTGTCGCTAAAAGCATCCCCACGAGGCTACTGCTATGCTAAACTTATCTAAAACTATAATTGAAATAGCTGTATACAATATGTTATGAATAATAAGCACTACG